GTGTGTGTGTGTGTGTGTGTATATATATATGAGTATGAAAACATCAGGGAGATGGTTTTATAAACTGAAAGATAGATAGAAGATAAATAGAAATATATAAGCTGTGTATCTGTTGTGCATCAAGCTGTTTGCTGTTCAGAGAAACACCTGATTTGTCAACTCATTCTCATTTCAAGGGCGTCAAATATGGCAACCTGGTCAGTGGCCCTTGGTTTCTGTTAAATCACCTTACAGCATCTGTATGAGATGCACCGGGCCTTTAACTACCTCCAATACAATCCTGTCCACAGCAATAACATAGTAGAAAGAGTGAGAAATTCTGAATGTGCTGGGAAGGAGGGGTGGTGGATGGATCAAACACACACACGACTTTTACCCAGAAGACTAGTGTTTGTGTGCCATGTGAAACCAAAAGCACCTTTTTTTTTGTGCACGGATGTTCTGAATAAATCGGCATTTTTTTTCACTGATCTCAGCCTGTGAACCTTTTTGTGTCTGCCCAGCTCAGTTGAATTGGTATGTGGGTATTTCTCCCACCATCCTTTTCTGGTTGTCCATTATACCGACAAACCCAAGATAAACTTTTTGTTGCCCTAAGTAGGCGCAGTTCCACAGCAGCCTTAGTCAAGTTTGTCAAGTGACGTACTCGTTATGTTACCTTAACTTTAACACAAACCATGATTGTTTTACTCAACCTAACCATGTAGTTTTGTTGGCTAAACCTAAGATAGTTTTATTGGAAAAACCAACTTTATCTGTGAAGATGGAAGTTTATTTTGAAATGCACTGTAGCATATAGCAAGCTGAAATTAACACAGAAGTGTCACAGTTTGAAGCGTTGGGCAACTGACCAAGCTGCAGTATCAGACGAGTTGGAACTGAAAACATTTCGGATGTTTTTACTGAGCTGTTCGTCCAGCCCAGTCACTAGAAAAAAAAAAAAGCGTTTTAAGTGATACATTACAGTTACACCATTCATGTGTATTATATGAATAGACTCTCCAGGCTTGAGACTTTGGCAAGTAAAATAGTTGGCAGGCCACAAAAGCCTTTGACCCAACTCTTTACAGAAAGAACAAGGAAGAAAGTGAGCCAGTATGAGCTTTTAGGTTGCGCTATAGAATCCCTCTGGCAACTAGACATGTATATAAGAAGTCCTTCATCCCGAGTGCCATCAGTATCCTTAACTCAACAAAGTGACTGATGAGTTTTAAGCCATAGTTAGACAATGAGCTGATTTAATGTATTAAGTGTTGTGCAGTGACTTTGTATGTTTGTTTTACTGACTACTGTCTGCTTTTTACAATGTTGTCTTTTGTGTCTGGTGAGCCAAAGACAAATTTCCACCCCTGGTGGACAATAAACATATATTCTGTTCTAAATCAACTTTTCTAAAGTGACATAGTTCCACCCACATACAAGCTGACTTTGTCATTGGAAGGTCGAGGAGAGGGTAGATGGCGTGACACGTGGGTGAGATGGCTGCCAAACTGCAGACCACTGTTCGAGACCAACAAACAACAAAGCCAGCTGTTTTGGTTTTTGCAGGATATTGCGGCATTTCCAGCAGTAATGTGGTGACAAACTGGGTATATTAATCCAAAATATTATCTTCTCCCAACCATTACCAATTCAGAAATGTACAATGCCAACATTTATTCTGGCAGTTACGTCCATCATGCATGTTCCTTTAGAGGACACTCATTCCATATGTCTGATTTGAAGAGTGTTCCTGACTTTGTGAGACCCGAACTTTGGTTTAGTATGCATTTTTGAGTTCTCCTAGCTATCTGGGATCAGTAGGACCCAATAATTATAAAAAACTAAATATTGTCAATGATAATTAAGTTCCAGTGTCCTCAAACAAGACAATAATAAAGTCTCAATGTCTTCAAACAAGTACTTCCTAATGAAAAGCATCTTAGCTTGTTACTGTTGGTCAATTTTGTTGCCGTATAAAACTACATACATAATTTATCATTAATAAACAAGATTAACTACAAAAATTGATCAGGTTCTGGACCTTGTTCACTTTTGTGTCGGGATGGGCTGCTAACTGACTTGGCAGAGATGGCTGCCATCTTGTTTTTACACTGATTAGTGTATTGTGCTCTTACTGCCACTAGATGGCACAAAAAAGTGTCCACAAACAAGGACAACAGGTCCAAGTTAAGTAGAATGAAGTATAAGATCAAGTAAACTCAAAATGTGATGTCCACATATGAGAGGATACAGGGTCTCAGGAGGTTAATGATTTTATCTGTACTTGATGGACTGACTGCCCTGGATTATGTATGTCACTCTAACTCTTAAGCGTGAAACACCTTCCCTTAATCTCATCCATAGCCATGAAACAACTGGAATCCTAGAAACTAGAAGACACGTGTCACACATATTTGCACGAAAGCATCCTCAAATTTGATTTTTACAGGCAAAAATCAGAACTGATAGAGAGCACATGCATGAAAGAGAGGAAGACGTCTTTAAATAGCAGAATGCACCACCACTACCACCCAAAAACAGTATGAAGAAAGAAACAATAAGGAGATCCAGGAGAAATTAGCTTGGCAGGAGTTTGCCCTCTTTTCCTTTTTTTTTTACTCTCTTTTAATTGTTCCTCCTAAGATCAGAGCTTTCTGTGGCACCAGCCTTGGAGCTCAGTCGATGTGCTGACTTGCATACGAGCAAGCAGGCAGGAAGGCGGGTTGACTTTCGACAGTTTGAAGGGTAACTGGGCCCTCTGCGTCCCACTGTCTCCCACTGCCACTATAATTGATCCAGTGAGAAGTCTACTGGGAGGAGCAGGAGGGAGTTTAGTGGAGCACAACACAGCTCACCCCAGGGCTTCGTCACAAAAGCAAAGCTCTCCATGCCACTTTTGCCAACAGGCTTTGTGGCGATAATCGCGGACAGGAGTGTGTCTTCACGTGTGCAACACTGCATGTGCACACACACACATAGATATACAGAGACACACACAGCCGTGCACACAGTTCATTCTAGATGAATGATTGTATCTAAGTATGTGCATTCTACAGATAATGGATTTATATAGATGTCATGCATGCACAAGCTCACACACCACCACACACACACACATGCCTGTTGATACTCATAAATATACAAGCATTGCCTTTAGCTAACACACACACACACACACACACACACACACACACACACACAGTCAGAACAGGCATGCAGACATAAACTCAAGTATGCATACATTCTGTACGTAACACATACACCTGAACATTCGGTACACATCTGCAGAAGACTCGTCAACATGTTCTGCTAATAAAACACACACAGGCATACATTAAAGCCTCTATACACACAGAGTAGTAATTCAAGCCCGTGCACACACTTAGCGGCTGTCCACACACACATTTCCCTGTTCTATTTTTGCTCTCCCACAAATGTGTCCAGCCAGCAGGACATCACAGTCCATACAGTTGATCAGTGTCCAAAGAAGGATAAATAAATAAAAGGGGAAACAATTGGAAGCTCAGGCTTTCATCCTCAGCCTCTCGGTAATTCCACCCCAGTCAGCAGTGCCAGTTTCACTCTGTGTCCTGCTGCGGTGGGTAAGCTGATATCCCCTCTGGATCTTACCCATTGTACCATGTATTCTTTTTGTGTCGGGCTTATCATTAGTGTAACCTGCCTCAGACTGCAGGGCTGTGTGCCTGTGTGTGTGTAATAGTTGTAACATATTCATGGTTGAAAGTTGGTATGTAATGTGGATGGGTTTAACTATACATGTGATGGCACTTTTACTATTGCTATTGCATATTTACTATTGGTGAAATTTCTTCCAGCTGTATTTGCATTGGTTTAATCTGCTGAACTGTACATTTATTGTGTCTGCCTTTGGTTAGCATCAACAGCGTTGCCAGATGTACGATAATTATTGTGTGTGTACTTTTCCCTGATGTGCAATGTACAATCAGTAATGCTGTAGTTTGCATAGCGTACGATAATACTTTATGTGTTACGTCAATATCTGCTTTTCATTGCTTTGGAAAATTAAATACTCACAACTACAACACAGAGGAAAGACACAACAAATTGGACAGTAGCCTAGATGTCTAGAGCAACATCCAAACATCACACTGTCTGATATGCTTTATTTCATAAAACATTTTACTTTAGTGATTATGAAATGTGTTTTTGAGTCGTATTTGTGACGGTGAAGTGGGTCAGTGAATGCAACACGTGTTATGACCAGCAGTCAGTGGTTATAACTCCGGTATAATAGGTTTCCTCAGAGTGCAGTAATTATATGCCTTTTTTATGATTGTTGAGCATTTCCTATCTGGCAACGTTGATCATCAACATATGGCATCTTGATGATAATCAAGATGTTCATGATAATCGCTTCAATCGATCTCTTTTTGTTGAGCGAATAATCCCATACCTTATTTCTACCTTCAATCTACGGCAAGCAATCCATCACAAGAGATAATCTTTCCTATATCAGCTGTGCAGCATGGCACGGCTCGTATCATCTTCTGTTGTAGCTCTGTAACTTTATTGATTAAGGTGATGTTTCTCTTGGTACTTCAAAATAGCATGGAAATGTTTGCTCTGGGAAATATTATTTATGTAGACTGTAATATTAGATTGAATTCAGTTTTTAATATCAGCAGAACAGCATGGAACAAACTGCCATTGACAGTGATTAAATGTCATGTCTGTCAAATGTGTGGAAAGAAAAAATGCTGCTTTGCTCCAAAATGAAACTGCAACAATCAAATCTTTAGCTGATATGTTGCCTTCAAGTGCACCTCATGAACTCAGACTTTATAATTCCACAGTCCACAGTCTTCTCCTGTCACCAGTGCTTTAGTCAGGAGACTAGAGTTTGATTTTAGAAAGAAAGTTACACAGAACTGTTTTGTGCTATTTGTTGTCTGATTTATACTTGGAACTGTGCTTTTATTAATATTTCATATCTGATGCAGTGAACAATAATCTTGGACTGGTCTGTCTCTCTACAGGTCTGTTGGGTTTGCTGACGACATGCGCCCAGACAGAGATGAAGAGGGTTGTGGGAGACAATGCCACGCTGCCCTGCCACCATCAAATCTGGATGGGTGATGACCGCACGCTGGACATTGAATGGCTGCTTCTCAAACCAACCAACAAGCAGAGAGTGGTGAGTGTTACACATCAATCAACACTGCATTAACGACCCAGTCCCCAGAACAAGTGTTGGCATTGTATGTTTTTTTACGATAATATGTCGCAGATATGTTGAAACTTTGTTTATTTTTATTACAACAGTGTTGTGGTTAACGTGTGGTTATGATGAGGCACAAAAAACACTTATGTTTAGGAAAAGATTGTGCTTTGGCTTAAAATACCCAGTTTAGGTGTCACAATCACAGCTGGAAATGCAGCCAATGTCATGCTCAGAAACAGTTTTTGGGTGGCCTAATCACCACTAAAAATGCTTCCACTGTCATACTGAAAACATCTGGTTTTAGTGCCATAATCACAGCTGGAAATGCCAATGTCATGCTAAGAAACACTTATCACTGCAGGATACGATGCAGCTAATACACTAAAGAACACCTGGTTTTGGTGGCACAATCATAGCTTTAAATGCAGCTGATACCTCACTGAAAAAAACTAAATAACAACCAGTTTTATTGTTTGTTGGTCTCAAATAGTGGTCTGTAGCTTGGCGGTCAACTTACCTTGGTGTGTTGGTATAAAAATGACAAATTTAACATATTCCTGGTTTGCAGCAACATGCAATGCCAACATTTTCTTCTGGTGACTGGGCTGACATTGATGTTAAGACACTGGTGTAATTACCATCAGCAAACTGCCAAAATGGCTGTCAGACTCAAGTCTACATTTCATTTTATACTTTGAGCCACCAGATGAGATTCAGAGGGATGTTTAAAAATAATTAGTCAAGTATATTAAGGGCATGAGAATCAAGATTGCCCTACAAAGCACAGAGTACAACATATTTGTTCAAAATTAAAAGACTGGAATCTGAGGTTTTGACATGTATTTCATATAAAAAATTATATAAAAAAACAGCATGTAAATGGTGCATACAAAATGGAGCAAAAATCAAATCAAAGTGTGGTAACTGCCCAAAGCTGAAACAAGAGAGCTATATCAACTGAAGGTTTTTTTCTGAGCTGTTAACTGTAAATAAAAAATGTATGAATGATCCAACATCTTGGTTATTTCGTTTTTATTCTAAATTACAAAGAACCCCTTTCATTTTACTTAAATATGAGTATTAATAATTTAGCCCTTGCAGATAAATTAATTGCTATGAATAATAGAAAAAAAGTAGTTAACATTGACAAGAAAGCTAACATAACAAATGTTGTTAATGGACACTGCATTTTCCCCTCACATCAAAGATTATCCAAGGGCAGCATTTGTATGTTTTATTTTATTTTATTTAGTTTCTGCTGCTTTAATTCTTTGAGTGAAATACTCACCTTAAATAATTAGCTTAATTGAAATTATGGCAATACAACTTCTCTGTTTCTTGCATAGTTCGCTGGCTATCCTGAAAACTTTAAACTCCTGCTCTTAACTTCACTGATTCTGTAGTTACTGCCTAAAAATGGATTTCCTCAAGGGGATATATAAAGTACTACTTTTTCTAACTCCTCTTCTTTTATTCTACCTGTGTCCTCTCTTGCATTCTGTTCAAATAGAACCCCCCTTTTGTTACAGGGAGCTTCCACAATGTTGCACTCACTGTATGTGTCTTACCTTGTTTACCACCTCTTTCCCCTCCCCCACAAGGTGATCACCTATTTTGCTGGACGGGTATTCGACCCCAACGAAGCGGAGCGTGGCCGCGTAGCCTTCGCTGGAGAGTACCTAAAAGGCGACGCCTCTCTGCTGATCAGTGACTTGTCTCTAACAGACTCAGGAGAGTACAGCTGCAAAGTCAAGACGGGTGCGCAATACCACTGGAGCACCATCAGCCTCATAGTGCTGGGTAAGTGGCAGACAGCACTTAGGTTAAATAAGAGAAAACACGGACTGAGGGAGGACTCATGAGAACGCTACACAACTGGAAGTGTCATGTAATCCCAAAGCTCTTAGCATTAGTGTGTGATTGAAAGTTCAGACCAATGGTTTCACCTCTCGCTCTCATCCACTTGTGAAGGAATAATCTACACCGATGAAAAAGAAAACTGGAATTAATCGAGTTCTCATCCTCTGTGATTTCTTTACAAGGGCCAGAGTGCAAAGAACGTGCAGCAACACGTTTGAAATTCAGTTGGAAGACCCCTTTCTTGATCAGCTGACTCTCATTGATCTGTTGGTATGAAATCTGTAAAGGAAAGCAGCACTTTAATCTATAATGCATACAGCTCCATAAGAAGAGCAAACACCTCCTTACTATCCAATACATCACTGAAATAAACAAACTCCAGCAGATTGTGCTACCCCTTTTTAAATTATTTATTGCTTCCTTGCCTCCAGTCTACTGAGGCAACTCCATTTCCCAGAGGCAGCTGGACCTCGCATCAAGTCAGTTCTTACAGCAATGCAGTTCCACAGTACATCCTGTTCAGGAGAGAGATTTATTCTAAAAGTTACAAAAGCAAAAAAGGTATTTTAATAAAGTTCCTCTGCAGTATTTTACATATATTCTGCTTAGTATTTATTAGGCATGATTCAGACATTTACAGCTGCAGTAAATGCTGTCATTCAGATTACCATCAGGCTATTCTGAGCAGTGACGCAGGTGACAGCCAATGAAATCACTATGCTGATTGAATATTGGAGTGGGTTTTCATGTCTATGAGCAAATGAAGTGCAGTGCATTGAAGGCAAAGAAAGCTACAATTGCTCACAAAACTGTTCTGAGCGGTTGACGGTCTCTGAGGTCATCTTCTCATCCTAAAAATGCCACAACAGCTTAACATTCAAATGGTTGACTGCAGATCATGCAGGTCATAAATATTCCACAATGAATGTTCCAACATGAGCTTGCCAGGCTGATGAAATGCATAGCCCCGTGCTTCCTTTTTTTCCTGCTGGACAGTGTGTGTCCACATGATATATATGGAAACCAACCACTGGCATAGTGGTTAAACTGCAAACATGTGCCATGCTTGACAGGCACATCATACTCATACTCTTTTTAATGTTCCAAGACTGTGAGGTTAAACTGAAGATACCATCTAGGTCACCACGCCTGGGAAAGGTTTTTAAATTGTAATCCATAAGATTGCAGTCTTGGGAATACATCCTCACTTATGTTTTTACCTAAAAATACTTAACTATGTAACTAGCTATGTTTATGCATGGTGTCATGAGAACACTGGAAAATTTAAACCCATAAAACAGAGACTTTTGAAAAAGCTACTGACCCCATTTTAGCTTGAAAATTCCAGAATTGCTTCCTGATTGGGTCCTATCAGTCATACCGTATTTGCTTTGCTACTGATTTGCTTCTGCCACCTCCTTGACCACCTCATACTCATGTGTTAGTTGTGTTTTCTGCAACTGACCAACCAACCATAGAGTAGAAAATCTGCTTCCTGTTTACGCTGGCTAGGGCATGCCCAGTGTACATGAATGGCGGAAATTATTCCTGAAGGCTGCAAAAAGGTTGTGTACAGAGATCGTTTTCAATTTGCCATCTTAGAATAAAAACGGAATAGTAATAGTGCGGCTGTAGCCTTTATTAATTTGGCGACACCTGTGGTTACCATGGTGACAGCAAGAGTGCTTTCACACCTGTCCTGTTTGGTTTGGTTCAATCAAACTGAAGTTTGTTTGCCCACTAAATGCAGTTTGTTTGGGCAGGTGTGAACACAGCAATCACACTTAGGTGTGCACCAAAACAACCAGACCAAGACCTTCTTGAAGAGGTGGTCTCAGTCCTGTTACAAACGAACTCTGGTGCAGTTCGTTTGTGGTGAGAACGTGTTCCTTCCTCGATCTGAACCAACTGCAGTCACATGACACATTGTTTGGGTTAAACAAGCATGAGCGTGTTACAGTCCTGGAGGACCTTACTGAAGCTACAAAAATGCTCCCATTATCTCAGGGACACCACTTAATCCATACTGTTCAATTGATCCTTTCAAGTCCTCTTGTACCACCTGATGTAGTTCAGACACCTCGCCTTTAGAAGACTATACCCTGTGAATGGACTCAAGAAACATCTTCTAATTTCTGTCTCTGTCACAAACAAGCCCCTGTGATGCTGCTCATCACTTTCACTGACAAAAAAGGCAAAGAGAGTGCTTCTAGTACTGTCCTGTAGTTGCCTTTACAGTGGACACTGTGGAGACGCCCACCTAAAGCTCCACTTTTGGACGGACGTCCTAATTTCTTGATCATATTTGGGACTGAACAAGTGAGGGAGGCCCTGTATGGCAAAATCAGCATACAGTATCCATCTGCACAGGAACAGTTCTATTTGTTGAGACACTTCTTTACGTAGTTCCCACTATGACCAGGTGACCAAGCATAAATCTGGTGTTATATAAATAAACTGTACACAAGGATGTACTGCAACAAAAATCTTTTAAACACAAATCCACATTTGTACAGTAGGAAAATCTTCTCTTGTTATGCCTCAGCCTCTAATGCTAGCCTGTGGAGAGCACCAATCTTCTTTGGAAAAAGTGGATGAGGGAACAACATGTAAGGATATCTGGGTTTGTATCTGATTGTCTGTCTGCAGTGAAGCCGTCCAAGCCGCGGTGCTGGATGGAGGGCAAACTGTTGGAGGGCGGTGATGTTAAGATGAGCTGCAAGTCTGCTGATGGCTCTGATCCCATCCACTACAAATGGGAAAGGGTACTGGACAAGGGCAAGTATGTTGGCAAGCTGCCTCCCATAGCCCTGATAGGTAAGTCCACTCTCACACTGGAGGATGCATCTGATAGTCAGTTATACCAAGATTTTCACTTTGATACCTATACAAAGTTTGAAATCTAAACATTTAATACACACAGCATGCTATAGCAAAAAAGAAAATAAAAGATGCAAAATAACATGTCACCACACAGATTTGTAGCAGTGATGGTATTGTGATTCATCAATTGAGTGTTTCAGTTGAAGAAATGCTGGACTGTTTTGTTATATTTCAGCTCTTTGACTTTTTTGAGTTTTGTGCTGACTCCAGCACTCTGCTGTCAAAAGCTAGACAGAGGCTCTGTCTACTCCAATTCTTCTTTTTCAGTTTCTGCATCCTTTGACTACTCTGATGTATAAACATGAAGTATATAACCTCAGAAGGTGACAATAAATCAGTTCAGCTTGTGTAAAGCATTTATCACCTCTTAAAAGACAGAAAAGACCATAAAATGAGACAAAAATACACTCTCATGTCTTGTTTGCTCTTGTTTGTACTATTAGATTTGAAAAACCCAGAGATTGTGACATTAAGGAACTTGACCAAGGACAGTACCGGAGTCTACAAATGCACAGCCAGCAATGATGTGGGAGAAGAGAGCTGCACAGTGGAGGTCAAGATGCACTGTGAGTGACACTTCCTGGACTCTAGATTGGAGCAAAATCTGCAACTTTTGATTCATCTCATCCACTAATGATTTCAGACACACTGCCCGTTGTCCTGCAGTGAAACTATCACTGACCACGACTAAAACAAAAATGACTGAAAGTGAAGTTTATAATGGGATTTACACTTGTGCATCAGCTCTATGCAGAGCTGACGCTGTCGCCTACGCATGTGGCCTACGCCATTGTGAGCATTTATACTTGTGCAGTGGTGTGTCTTTGTCTTTCTGCAGTTACACCTACAGAACACTAGTCAGCGGTGGGGTTTCTGTGAGGTGCTGTAAAGTTTAGGTGGTTCAAAACACACCCAAAACACACATTAAACACACATTAAACATGGCTTAATAGCAACAGTTTCAAACACAAGTAAACAAATCAGCTTCATTATAACCCGCAGTATTCACAGACAAAGCACTTGCCTTTTACTGGACACATTTTCCCCACAAATACAACATGCTAATATTATTAGCACACAGCTATGGCATTTAACATTGTATGAATTAGCCTAGTGGCTAGCAGACTTTTCCCCTACTCATATGAAGACAGGGACAACAGCAACATTTAAGAAAGGTAATGTTACAAAATTCAACTCCATTATAGCTCACCAGGTTCACCGACAGAACAACTGTCTTATACTAAATGTAAAATGATTTGCAGACAAATAACACGCTAACATTATTAGCACAAGCCTATGCCATTTTACATTGTACAAATTAGCCTAGCGACTAGTGGAGAATTCCTCTGCTTAAAATGCTAATGCTAAACTGCTTTGATGTCTTCACAATTTATTGTTTCTTATCTGTGAAATTAAAGTAAATAAAACCATTGTTTCCACTGAGGGAAAAGGTTTCAGCTTACAAAAACAGACAAAAGGTCTGCGTTATGGTGCCCCACCATCATTAGCTGTACTCGCAGTGAAGTGTAAAGGATAAGGCTGACAACACTCTGTATTTTCTTATTGTCAAGAAAGCCCAAGAAAAGATCCAAAACAACAATGAATTAGTCTCTCCAAGCTGGCTGATTTCTATACCTTGTCTGTGGGGAGTCTTTTTTTGTGGTGAATTAATACACATTTGTTGCTCATGTCTGGCAGCAGGATTCTGTGTGGGGGATTGAGCCAAAATAAACTTGAGTGTGTGTGTGTGTGTGTGTGTGTTCATGGTAACGAAGGAACCAGTCACCCAGTGCAATAGTGTAGCCCGGTGATGTGTTTTTAAAAGTTTTCATTTTTTTGGGGGGGGGGGGGGGGGGTAGGAGCTAAACAACATTTTTAGGTGAATTAATTCATTGTTGTTTGGGGTGTTTTCATGGGACTTGATGAGTAAGAAGACAAATATAGAATATTGTTAGGCTTGTCTTCTAAGATGTACTCAACAAATCTTAAATGTATGACCCTGTGACAATTAATAAGTATACAAACCAACATTAAACTGTATGCGATACACAAACAAAAACAACTTTACCAATGGTTTACTGATAAAATCTATTGCACTGAATTTGAAGCTGTTTGTAGATGGACAACATAAGATTTCATCAGCACACCTTACAAAAGCCTATCATAAGTACACTGTGGGCTTGATTTAAAGACACTGTAAATAAACTCTTTCATTTTAACAGAAAACTGTTTAATTTAGATCCTTTAATTATTTGAGGCAGTCTTGTAGTGATTACTACTGGCTACCGCTCACCATAAACAACATTAGTATTGCCAATTGCTGCTGCAACCTGCATGACTTACTGCACTCACTATTGATCGGATCTATCAATCACCGACTCACTCACCAGATTACCACCAGAGATGCAACACTAAGACGCAAGACCTCTAAAGGCAGGATGTTACAAAGTAAAGCACCTGCAAATAAAAGTAATTCATGTATGATTTATTGGGGCATGAGATACAACTTGTGAAAATGTATGCTCTTTTGTGTGCATGAGTATGTTTTATCGTATGTACACGTGAATGTGTGTGTAATTGCCACAATTTGGGCACTCCCAGTAATATATTCCACTGGCAGTGTCTCTCTAAACCATTCAGAAAGTGGTGTCCTCTAAGGGGGGTTGTTAAAACATGTGTCCTCAAAAGTTACATAGGTAAGAATGTGTGTGTGTGTGTGTGTGTGTGTGTGTGTGTGCTTGTTTTGAAAATTTTTGTGTGTTCTTGTGTGTAGATGTCAGGGGAATGGGTGTGGTGGCTGGGGCAGTGGTTGGCGTGTCTTTCGGAGTTCTCCTAATCATCCTCATCATCTGGTTGGTGTTCCGCAAAAAGGAGATGAAGAAATATGAAGAAGAAGAGACCCCAAATGAAATCAGGTACACAGTGGAAGGAAACTTTGTCTGCCAGTCCCACCCAGACACATAGTCATAACCCCAGCCTGAACTCTTTCTGTCTCATGATAAACAAAGGAAACTAGAAATGTTTGTTTCTATATACAGTACCATCTTCAGAAGTGAGTGCCACTCACTTAGCACTAATATCATCAAAGCACATTTGAAGCAGTGAACTGTAGGATTCCCCCCCTCTGATTTCAACAGTTCTTCAACAGCAGGAAACCAGAACTTGATAGAGATGATTCCCTCAGTGACTGCATGACATGTTGGCACCGTTTGTTACAGCAGTTTAATTTTTTTTCTTCACTTAGTTATTTGTTTGTTTCTGAACAAAAACCTAATTAATAATACTGTTAGCAACTTATCAGGAATAATATATAATATGAATTTGTATGAATGACCTTATCAATAATGTAGCCAGTGACAGAGCAAGAAAGACAGGTGAAAGCAAACAAACTTTTGTTGTCTACAATTAAGTAGAAAAAACACAACTTCATATTTTGTATGTGTTAACTAGATATAATTCAAGACTAAAATCCACTTCCCTTAAACTGAATTTGACTTTATTTACGCAGTGTTGGTAATTAAGCTCGTCACACAAAAATATGTGAAATGACGACAATCTGTTAACACCGCCGGCACCATGGTAACAGTACCAGTGGAAAGTCAATAAGGATCCTTCATTGTGGTGGATGTACACATTCCCTGGTTATCGACATTATGCAGTAAATATTAACATTAATATTACAACCTTAAAGGTAGTAAAAAGAGCTAGAAAGTGGACGTATAGTGGTAATTGGGGTGGTGGATGGGTCGAACAAACACAGGACTTTCACCCAGGAGACAGCTTTTTGTGCCCCATGTGAAACTAAAAGTCAATGTTGACTTCTTTCAACTTTATATACCTACTTCCTTTATGTAACGTGACATACTTATGTCACTTTAGGACGTACTTATGTCACGTCTGTAACAAACAGTAGATCTGACAGAAACACTTTAGTCAAGGAGTACTTTATTTCCATTTGCAGTATTATATTTGGCGGTATGGCTCTGTTCTGGGGCCTCTTTGCCTTTCCTCGGGCCTACACAGAAAGCCTCTTCCATGTGCCCACGTGGAAAGTCTAAGGTGGAGAGAGCACACCCCTCTGCCCTTCCACGCGCTTACGTGGAAAGCCTAGCCTTGTAGTGATGATATGACCAGGCCAATTTCACTGAACTTCTAATTGTTAAATTTGTTTATTTGAGGGCAGTCTTTGAATCATGCAACCATATGCTCTTTTCAGGGAGGATGCAGAAGCTCCCAAAGCCAAACTGGTGAAGCCCAACTCCCTCTCTTCTTCCCGCTCTGGCAGCTCTCGCTCAGGCACCTCTTCCACACAGTCCATGGTGCACAACATGGGGCTCCGAGGCCAACGAGCCTGTGTTCCTGCTGTGGCGGCCCTCAAGGAAAACTGCCAATCTTCTTTCCCTCAGTCTCCACCTGCCTACAATCAGACAGTTCCCAAGACTCCTGAACCACGTTCAACACCAACCTCCACGTCTACCTCCAATTGCAAGCCCAGCCCTCCCCCTAAACTGAGTCCTGGAAACCTGACCCGCATGGGGGCCACCCCTGTTATGATCCCTGCCCAAACCAAGGCCTTCCAGACTGTGTAGAAGATGTAATCACACAGAGGAAAAGACCAAGGCAGCCTCAGGACATGGCAACCAGCTGAACCCAAGAGTTAGACTCTGATAAAGATCCAGTGTATATTCTCACCATTCGCTATCTGACGGATACTTTCAGGAATTTAACTCTTGGAGAATCTGTGCTTTACACCAACAATATAGGAATAGGCTTCTCCTGGCATTGTTTATTGACACACTCTCACCTGAGCAACATCTGTGATGAAGATACTGTTGTATGGACTGTGATTTTAAAAGACAAGGAGGTGTCGAAACTGAACCAGCAGTTGGTTTCTTATGGAAGGAGAGGATTGCACGCAGCAGGGAGTGAATGGGATGAGGTAATGTAATGAGGTGAGGTCGAAAGCGTGAGCCAGACTGAAATTTGATAAAGTGATTACATTACATAGCAACTTCATTCTTTTTGCAGAAGACAACAGATGGCTCATAGATACAGCTGAAGAGGTTAGTATAAGGGAATGGGGAAAAAAGGAACAAACTTGAACACCTTCTTGCATACAGTACCCCACTTTACACCTGTTGCTAATGAAAATGCCCTGCACACATGACTGAACTGATTGATGAAAGTAGTTTAACTGTAGGTTGTTACAGTATATAAACGAGATGAATGGCTCTGATTGTATAAACAGACTTTATGTGGACACTTCATATAAACATTGATACATGTGACACGCTGTAATATGGACATAGGTGAATCCCTTTTGTCACTGCTTCCTCTGTGCCGACTGAAAAACCACATAGATGTGCACCATTTTCAGTAGTTTAAGTGTGGATTCATACAAGACATTTCATGTTTATACTGTTCATCTATTCATACCTGACATGGCAAAATTCAAAGAGAATTCTGAGTTTTCTTTTTGTTTTGTTTTTTCCAGGGGGGGTAATTTTCAGGATAATGGAGCACTTATAATTTTGAGGATTGTCAAAGGGTTAAGTCGAGGCCCTGCTAAGAAAGTGCCACATTGTGATTGTTTCTTTTTTTTCTCATTTTGTGTGTAGTATACCTTTTTGTTAACCACGAATGCAAGACTGTATGAATGTGTTGCTAAATGAGATGTGTTAGGTAGTATTTTTTTCTCAGCAATAAGTTACTAAGAACTCTCCCATGTTAAAATGGTTTCCTGAATTTTAATGAGTTTTACATGACTCATTGACTCATTTCTATAGAGAGAAAATTACTTTCTGCACTCTTAATACAACTTAGATGTGGATTTCTAAAGAGTGCCTTTTGTCATTCATGCTCATTGTAATGATCAAACATATACAGTACTATTGACAGTACAACGCATTGCAAATTAGTTGTCCTTCACAAGGGGCATGACACTAATAACAGTCAGTGTAGGTATGGAGGGAGAGCTCCATTTATATCTGACCTACTGCATACCAGCCATAGCCAACAGACAGACAGACAGACAGACAGACAGACACACAGGACAGAATGAATCCTGCCCTTGTGCCTCATCTCCCATTCAGCAGAGAGGACAAACCTGATCCTTCTCCATTCCTCATTCTTCAATCACATTCCTTCCCTTCAATACATAATCTGCCTTTTATCCCTTTTCCTCTTTCAACTTGTCTTGTGAGTCTCACCACCTACTCGCTCTTCTCCCATGATGTTGTATTCTACTTATTTTCATGGTGGGGGAAGTTATACATAACCTTGATCCAAGGACGGAGCTTTGTCACTGTTGCGTTCAAAGCCAAACTGACTGTACACTTACTTAGATGTGTACAATAAAGATGTCACTGTCGTTAGTTAATCTTGGCGTGACTTAAAACACCAGCGAACACACCTCTCTGACTGGAAAGTGAAACTTTCATCTTGCTCACCTGGAGACTGATGAACATAGCAATACCTAGGTCACTAAAAACTGCTATCGTTAGTTGCTGTAAGTGACATCTCCTGCTTTTACAAACTATGTGCACACGTGCATGTAATCACTGATTTGTCAGAAAGCATTTGCCACCAATGTTACAACATTCCACTACATTAGCTGAAATTTAGATTTTACATAACCTCATCCTGTGATAGAGCTGTCCAACCGGGGACCTAAACAGCTTTTCCCATAGCCAATAAAACACAAAAAAAAAAAAGGCAAAACGATGCATGGACTGAACTAAACTGACAGCAGTAGACAAGGTGCCCTTATCCTCAGATAAGCTAGATATATTATTGTAATGAAACAGACATATTTTAGTTCCATTTCACAGAATGTCTTGTAGAATTTTTAATAAACTAACTTACCCATGCATAATTTGAGATTACTCTTCATTTAGCTTTAGCGTCTCAGCATAGAGAACTGCAGGACACTGGGTTTTAATTAATAATTGGCTAAGGTGACAAGCTGACAAACTTGTAAACAGTGGATATATTTATTGAAATGGTCAGTTCGCTTCAGTTGCAGAAAAAGATGTTTTTATGATTTGAGAAGCACCACAAACAAGATTCCATTTACCTCCACTGTATGGTGGGAATTGACCTTTCACTAAGCCCCGCCCCTTGTGATGGTCCAACAAGCTGTAGGTGTAAGCATGTAACTAACTGCACTCCCTGAAGAAATATTATCATATTTTTGGGAAAATGAAAGAGTGATTCCAGAGAGAAGCAGACAGAGGGGTCTACAGTCTGTGTTTGAAGGATATATCCAGGATGTCAAACTGACTCAGCAGCAACAACAGGTTAAAAAGACAAAGATAGTTAGAAGCTAAAGCCCAACTATAGGCTACAGATCACAGTGTAAAAGTGAACCACCACATCACTGCTGATCGCCACACAAGACAATGAATATAGAGGGAAACTTTGCTGATATTGAACCAGCTGTGTGGCATCACAGTGTGTGCAGATGAACTGTGTTTGGCTTCACCCCCGTGCTGCTGCCAGTATCTGGACAGGCAGGGATCTCTAGGAAAAGTCAAACAACGTTCATCTGTGCACACTGTGATGACACACAGCTGGTTGAATATCAGCAAAGTTTCCCTGCTTCCCTTCACTGGTTCCTGTACAGCAGGGTCGGTCTTTGTTTCACTGTTATAATCATTAAAAAGCAAAAGCAGCATGTGTATACATTCAGTAGGCTATATCTTCAGTAGCTAGCTAGCTAACCCTACACTTTTCAGGGTCTGATTTTGGTTTTGGAACAGGGAAGAAACGTATATCTTTCTCCAACCTCTCCAGGTAACGAGTATCATTAATACACGACGTGCCCCAGGCACAACATTTAGCTCCAAATCCACAAAACCAGCCTGAAAATGAAGGAAATCTGAGACGATTGCATTAGAGTCAATGGAACACAGCTGTGCTGTTGTCGGACCCTGGTCTGAGCCGGCCCAATGCTACATTATGATTGGCCAGTCTGCATCCAGGGTGGCCAATCATAACGGTGGGTCAATTCTCAGAGACAGTAAGAAAATATGATAATATATTCATTTTTTTGTAACATGGCTGAACTGACCCTGTTATTTTTTAAAAAAAGAGCACCTAAACTTACATTACCTAGAGCCTCTGTATGATTTTCTATAAGTGTGCAGTATATTCTTCCAATAATCAGTACTACTTTAACCATACTTTCCATAGACCTTCAGAGACAGTTATTATTTTCCTCTTTCCCCATCACTACACATTAAGTGAAGACAAGCTGGGAGCACCAAATTGGATCAAACCGTAAAAGGATTAGATGTGTCATCATCACAACTAGACATAATCCAACTCAACTGTCATTGGCTATTGGCTGTTGGGATTGGGATTCCTTTGCGCATGTGTCGGCGTCTGTAGCTGCCTGTCTGTGCTCTCCCTAACCCGCGATTTTAAACTGATTTATTTTAACTTGGAGTGACTTTTAAGCTATCTGCTTGGACATCAGTTGTTTTTATTTTTGTTTTTATTTATCTCATTTAATCGGACGTTATTTTAATCACTGGATCTCCAAGCATTAGGGGTTTTAACAGCCAGACACGGCCTGCTTGACAGGTGGGAAAACTTCCGCCAGCATAGCCTATATATGGCTACATCTATGCACACAGATGTGGACCCCCAGCTTGTAAAAGCAGACAAAAAGATTTCTGACATTCGCCGGCTTTCTGGTGAGCTAAACATCAAATCCTCCATGTTGACCGCCCTCCAGGAGGTGGCTCATGAACAGTCGCTCCAGATCACCTCACTCACGGCGGCCCTCCAACACACGGTGCACGATCCCAGCGCTTGGCCTCCACCGTCCTCCAGCTCAACACCGAGTCGCTGGTGGTCTTGGGTGGAGGTGGTCGGCAGGGGTAAAAGAGGCCCTGGCTGTGCTGCCTCACCTCCGCCCCTCAGCCTGTCATACCGCTACAGCGCCCTGGCATCAGACGGAGATCCAGACGCTGGCACTGCAGATTCTGCCACTGCGGTTCCTTCCGCGCCGGGCGGTGCTGTTCCAGCCGCTCCCCGCTTGGAGGAGTCGGCCTCAGCATCTAACATGCTGTGGGTCCCTCTCCGCCGGCCGGTGGTACACCTGCAGCGCCCTGCATGGATGGATCCGCGTCTTCCTCGCTGGCACCTGTGGACCGGAGTGCTGCGGCTGCAGGACCCAACCATCGACTCCCATCCCGGACATCGGCTTCTGCGGCGCGTCGGAGGCTCCTAAAGGAGGCTGTACGGAGACGCTCCGGGGGACTCCTCTCCCACAGCCGGGATGGCGCTGCTCCTGCCCCCCCAGTCACGCAGCATGGACCGTCCACCTGCCTCATATGAGTCACCCAATCCTCATCGTGTTCCTCTTCGTCCTCTTTTCCCTCCTTCCACCGTGTTGTTTGGAGACAGCATCGTCAGGAATATTCGTTTTTTCAACGCCACAACTCGCTGCTTTCCTGGAGCCACAGTCCCGGTCATCGTTGACAAACTTCAAGAACTGCTTCATTCACTCCCTTCCTCCATAAATCGGCTGATTTTCCATTTGGGCTCAAACGACACGGCCCGCCGGCAATCAGAGCAGACAAAAATGGATTTTGTTGCTCTTTTTAACCTTTTAAAAAACTGTGGTAAGTCAGTCTTTATCAGTGGTCCCCTGCCAACACTGTCCCGCGGGGCAGAACGCTTCAGTTGGCTACTTGCCCTCAATTCATGGGTCCAGGCTGCCTGTAGCACCTATGGATTCGCTTTTATCGACAATTTTAACTTATTTTGGAACCGGTCCTCTTTTTTCAGGGCTGACAGGCTAACATTCAGCACGCTGTTCAGTGTGCCCCATGTGACTGACGTACATTGGAAGCACACGCCCCCCTGCTTTCCTCTTTGGTTCATCCCCAACCCACTCCCACATCCACATCCATCCCAGTCAGAATTTCAAACAGATTTAACAGAACAACTTCACCATGGACCAATAGCAACCCCAAAAACTTAGTTCCCCTCACACCTGCTCCACACTCACCACATTGTGATGATGAGC